TCTCATTTTTCATCTTAAGAAATAAAATATTTTTGAGCATTCATGCAGCAGTTAATTTGTTACATACTTCATGTGAGGCAACCATTTTAGGAGCAGAAATATATTGTATGGAAGAGAATCTGATCTGTTAAAAAAATACTACACATTTTTCACAGAAAGGTTTTATTACTGTGAATTTTCTTTCGATGCACAGTTTTGTTTAAGCTCTCCATTCTAAGCAATATAAGTAAAACTCAACAAAAAAAAACAGCTCTCCATTCTAAGCAATATAAGTAAAACTCAACAAAAAAAAAACAGCTCTCCATTCTAAGCAATATAAGTAAAACTCGGCAAAAAAAAACATCAAAGTGTGAATTCACAGAAGTACTCTTTCACAATCCCACTCCCATTATGTACCGCAGATTATCCAAATTAAGATTCTGATATTGCTGTATATGACATCGAGTGACGTGTTTAAGAGGAAATTTAATAAAATAAGATGGGCATTGTGTCACAGAAGCAAGCTAAGGCAGACCATGGAGATCATTTTCAGTATAATGTTTCTGAGTGCGATCATAGGCATCACCTGTCACTTGCAACATCTTGGGCAGAATATCTATTGCATCTTGTACTTCATCAGGACCACATACCTGCAGAAGAATTGTTTATGTTAAATCTTTATCATATAATCAAAGATTACTCTTATAGTTATGCTCACTAGTTATTTTCATAAATTTGCATGATGACTGCTAACAATTTTTAAAACTTGGGTAATTTTACAATACTACTGTTAAACTAGATAATGAGAAACCACAAAATTTCTGAAATGGTCATAAATTTATTAGCATACCTACAGTCTGCATACAATTTCCTGTAACAGTCTTTTCTCTTAGTATTTGGGGTTATGCTGAATTATTTTATTACTGAAAAATGTAAATGCATTTCCACCTCAACAGCAACCTTTCTCTCATATTACAGCCACAAAATATATGAATGTTATAGAAAATTTTCAGTCAACATGTCCAACTCATATCTTGAGATAATTCTAAATATGTGATGATGAAACATTACACTGAACATGGCTATTAATTTTTACCATAACCAGATAATTTCTGGGGGGAGGGCACACAGTAACACAATTGTTTGAGACACAAGCTGGAAGGTCATGGGTTCAGTTCCCGATGTTACTGGATTTTTCAATGGACCTAATTCTTCCAGACACACTACTGCCTCAGGGTCGACTCAGCCTCTAACAGAAATGAGTATCAGGAGTCTTCCTGGGTGGTACCATGCGACCAGCACAAGGCTGACAACCTCACAGTCATCTGTGAGCTGACTCTCTAGAAAATGTGGGAGCCCTGACATCTTACAACCCTAAAGGCCTCCATTGCCTCTTACAGAGACAGCTTTACCTTTTTTATCCAGATAATTTCCAAAATGTTGTTAGTCTGGTACATGTATAATACACTGAGAAACAACAATTCCTTTTCATTCTGTATATCAAGTGCCCCATACTTTTGTGTCTGAAATTTGGTAACTTTAACTTGGATTTACTAAAATTTTGTCACACTGTTGTTGGTTTCTTTTTATTATATTTACTTGTTCAGGATAAACACACACCAGATCTGTACTGTTCTATGAATACATACTTCAGTCTCTGCATGGTTATTTACCTATGGTTTATTTAATGATGCTGTCAGTAGAATGATAATGAATTGGAAAGAATGTGGAAGCAAGCAGCTATGGCCTGATTTGGGCTACTATCTGAGACTTGCCTAGAGGCACTGACACAAGGCACACAAAACCTATGTCAACTTACTTGGTATCCTGTCAGAGATTTGAACTGGGCATGAGCCACAATTATTTTCTTTAATCAATGTAATGAGGTTTTCGTTCTCAGCTGTACAGGTCATTTAGTGTCAAACACGGTGAAATGAGAAGCATACAAGTGTGGCAGCAAGCAGTTACGGACCTTTCTTAATTTTCTGTGCCTCATTTAATGATCTTTTCAGCATAAAGACTATATAGTGCTGGATGGTAGGATAACAGCTGAGGTGGAGGTGATCTAACTGATGGCACCATCCTACATTTTCTTTAAGGGGCTGAGGAAAACAACAACAAAAAAACTCAGGGTAGCCAGTGTGCTGGATAAGATCTGAACTTAGCACCTCATGCATACAAGTCTAGGGCATGAAGCCTAGACCAAACTGTTTGGTGATCTTTTGTACAGAACTGGCCTGAAAGGACTAAAGAATATTACAATAAAGTGTGAACAGCTATCCTCTGGGCTAAGAATCAAACCTAGGATCTCCAGAATGGGAAGCAAAAGTCCAAACCTCTTAACAACATTTAGTCTTCAAACGTTAAAAAAGAAAAATTGAACTACATTAATCCATTTTCTACACAGACCTTCTGCAGTAAGCCCTCTCTGGAAGGAAGAGCATACATTGCCACAGTTGCTCCCTTCCGTATAATCCAGGGATGAAAATTGGCTAGTGTAGAATTGTAAGCTTCTTGACAAACTCCACATGTCTTATCTTCATCTTGAAGTTCACTTACTTTCTGCAGGAATAGCTTGATGAAATCTTCAATATAAATAGAGTTACATATATTCATTTTCAGATGTACAACATAAAATATTAAGGCAGACTCAGATGTTATTATGTCAAGGTTTCTAACAGGTTCTTAAATTCATTTAATGTTCTATCACTAACTCCAATTCAAATAAGAGAATAACTGATGTAAGAGATTTGAAACTCTCACAGCTATTAGAATTAACATCACATTCTTCTGTGATGTGAAGCCATCTAGTTTGGCTGACAGATACCAGTGTTCAGGAGGAACCTTCTACTTCCATCTTCAGAGTACATCAGACAGAAGCATTAGTACCAATCTAGCAAACTACATGATGTTACATCACAGAACATATATTTAGTAACATATGTGCTTCAATGATGCTTTCTCCTATCAACTGCTATAACATGTATTTTTTTTAAACTGACCTGTCCAATTGTACATAATGTAACAGTTATGGATGTTAAATAAATAAATCAATCAATCAATCAATGTATTTTATAGTAAACCTAGCCAGCTCACTCATATTTCACAATTGCTTGATTTCAAATTGTGCATAATCTTCAGGTTCATACCTAATCCTCTGTGCAGTCGCAGCAAGGTACGACTACCAGAAGTGTAACCAGATTTATTTAAAAGTCCATTTTCACTTTCATATCTAATCATTTTCTTTAAAGTTGAAAAATGTTCTCCATTTTCACCTTGACGAAGTTCTTCAAGAATTTCTATTTTGCTCTTGACATCTGATGCAACAAAGGCAAATACTTTTCCCATAAGCTGAAAAAAACTGGGGGGAAAAATTTATATTTTTAATTATACTGTGAATATAAATATACACAATGGCAGATTTCAAAGTTTGCACACAGATGTAAAGTATAAACAAAAGGAAATCAGCTGTTATTGGTTATTTGGAGAAATTAGTGTTTAATATCTCCAGAATGTTGTATTTGGAAATGCATGTTCACCTTCTCTTACTTTGGCTTTTGGTTGGGAAACAAATAATCAGCTTAAAAGATGAAATGAATTAGACCTGCAATAGGAACAAGACTGGCAGAAGTGGATATCACATCACAAACATGCGTGTGTATACATACAGGAGTTGGACAGAATACTGGAAACACTACAGGTACTGTATACATTTCTTTATTGGTGTTGGACCACCTTTTGCCTTCAGTACGGCGACAATCCTTCCTGGAATGGACTCGTACAAGTTTTGAACAGCGTCTAACAGAATTTTATACCATCCTTTTCGAAGAACACCAAGTTGCTTTAGAGATGGAGAGGGGAATCTGTTCCTCACTCTTGTCTCCAAAACTGACTAGAGTGGTTCAGTGATGTCCAAATTTGGTCATTGTGCTGGCCAGGGAAGATGATGAAGTTCACCTTCATGCCCTTCAAACCATGACTAAGTAGTTCCAGCTGTGTGAATGGGGCACTGTCATCTTGGAAAACTGCATCATTATTCTGAAATAACTCCTGGATCATAGGCTGCAATAATGCGACCAACAGAATACTGTACCATGATATTGCTGCCAAAACCATCAAAGAACCTCCCCCATTTCTTCATTGTTGTTACCAGGTATTCCAGACTGTAGGTTTCCTTGGATGTTCTTCAAATGTAAACTCTTCATGATGTAGGGAACACCATGAAGGACAACTCATCTGACCATATAGCGCACATTTCCAGTTGTCTCACGTCCAGGTTTTTTTTAAAGTTGTGACACCATCATTTACATGTCTGAGCATTACTTTTAAGTAATCAGGGGTTCAGCAACTGCAGCCCTACTGAGGATGTTGGATTTGTGAAGCTCACATCGGACAGTTTTTGTGGGAAATGGTTCTTCAAGAAGTATATTCAGTTCTGTTGTCACCTGCGGTGCAGTAGTTCTGTAATTTTTTTTAAACAATCCTTCTCAATATATAACGATCTCTTTCTGTCAATGTTGATTTTTGCTCACTGTTCCTCTTTGCTCTTGTTTTCACATGATTCATGCATGCCGACATAACCTCAGAAACTGTCACTCTCAGTACACCTAACAATGTGGCAGTTTCTTTCACAGATGCTCCAGCTAAACATGCACCAATGTTCTGTCCTCTTTTAAAATGAGACAAGTCTCCCATATTTAAATTCTTTCACATGGACTATCATTCAACATAATCACTAATGCACTGACATGAGCACTACAGGGTGTAAACAAATGGAAGAACATTCAACATTGCCAACTAAAGGTCTTTCAATGTAGCCAACACAAATTCTATTCCTCAATTTTTTAGTGTTCCCATTATTTTGTTCATCCTCCCATACATACACATGTATCCATGAAGATATCTTCAGTGTTTGATGTTTGTTGGTCAAAAAACAATACTGTGCATTGTACTAACAAAGTTAATGTTAATATTCAGTATTCATCTCATTAATTACTACAGCTGCTGCCTGAAACATTATTATGAACATACATTTTATTATTCAAAATTGTATTTAGATCTTCAAGCAATGTTAATCAGTATTATCTGGTTTAATACATAAATCTAGCAAGAACTTTTAATGGTACATTGACCAGATTATGGGCCAGACAAATGAAGGAATTCAGATTTGATTCCCAGTGGAGGCAGGAGATTATTTGTTCTCCATATAACTCAGATCAGCTCCAAGGCCCACCCAACCTCCTATACAATGGGTACCAAGGTTTGTTTCCCTGGAGGTAAAGCAACAGGGGTGTGAAGCTCACCACACAACTCCATCTAGAGCCAAATCTAAGAATGGTGGAGCTATACCTCCACTCTCTGACATCCTGATGGAATAGTGCATAATTAATTAAGTACAGGGATAACTTTACCATTAGTAAGAACTTTAAAGGCACCAAATTTCATCAACAAATACCAGACTACATAGTGCCATAACCAAGAAGGCCACTATATAAATTTATCACACTCTGTACAACCAGAGTGGAGTTTTCAGCATGTGAAGAAAGTATTTGGGGCAGTACTTTTTCAAACATGCCTAAAAATACAATGTCACTTGTTCATATATTTACAATTGCAAGCTATGCAGCAACTTGTCAACTTATAGGCACAGGTATATAATGCGTCACATATATTAATGCACTTACTATATCTACACTGAATTTTAAATAATTTGCTCAACTATTCACAGATACCTCTACCACTGAACTATAAAGTTCAATAAATCTGGACTGTTTCAGTATATATTAGCTACATTCTAATTATTTCTCATCAGATCAGCCATTTAATCATTTAAAATTATTTTAACTAATATATTCTTTAAAAAGAACAGATCACAGTTTGTGGTAAAATGAGAACCAAATGTTTATTTACTGAAATTTAGCTTTCTATATAGAATTTTACACAGTAAATTTGAGAAGAAGAGACCACTTGGAAGACCTGGGCATAAATGGGAGAGAAGTGCTCAACTGGATAGTAAAGAAATAGGATCTAAGGGTGTAGAGTGAATTTACCTAATTCAGGATAGGGTCCAATGACAGGCTCTTGTGAAGACAGTAATGATCCATTAGGTTCCATACAAGGCAGGAGTTTCTTGATCAGCTAAAAAACTAGTAGCTGCTGGAGGGCTCTCTTCCATGGAGTTAGGATTTCTGTGCTAATGTTTTGTTAGGTACAAGATTAAAAGTTTATATATATTGCCATAAACACTTTTATCTGCAAGAAGACTATAATATCCTGCCTTCAGTAAAAGAACTTCCCTACTACTCATAGTACTGCTGAATTTTGCATAAAATAACAGATATATATATATATACAAACAACATATTATGCGACTACAAGGGGTCAGAGTTCAAGTCCCAGTAATGGCAAGATTTTTCTCTTCTCCACATCATCCATATTGGTTCTGGGGCCCACTCAACCCCTTATCTAATTGGTAAGAGGAGCTCTTTCGCCAGGGGTAAAACAGCAGGAGCATAAAGCTGACCACTCACCTCCAGGTAGTGCTGAGGTCAAGAACACATGAATCTATACATCCACTACCCCATACACTTTCATGATGCAATGCTTAATTAGTTCAGCACAGGGCCTTCAACTTTTTCACCTTTTATATATTATGTTCTTCATGTACTCTCATCCCTCCATAAAGTAAATGCACTGGTAAAAGTATGGAGCAGTATGTTCATTCTTAAACACATGGTATGATTCAGTCTATTAATATTACTATATGATTTCTGAAAAGGCACCAATGTGAACTGAACTCACCGAACATATACTTTTAAATCAATTAAAATATTGTATTTACAGGTATGAAGTAAGGTGAGATCACCTGAGTGTTGAACCAAACCATTAAGGTGTGGGAGCAAAGCCTTACATCAGATGGATATCAGTGGTAAACTTTATGCTTTAGCCTCATGCACCTCAGACAGAAGGCTGTGAGGGCCCCAGAGATAGTCCAGATATTAGGGCAAACAGGGAAGTTCCTGTTCCTATCTTATATTGAATTTGGGTCAACCAGACTGCAGCCAGAAACTATAATAACCTATTCCAGCTGTTATTAAGGGAGTATATCACTCAATGTTAAGACATCAACGACTTATGTATTTGAACTTCCCTAACACAGAATTCAGTTTGGTAATAGCTGAATCCCTTAAAAAATTATTTTGTGGTTTGGGATTGCTAAACCAAATCTAATCTTAAAGAGTACAGTCTTGTAGGATATGACGCCGTGTACTGAAATATCTATTAGGTCACACTGCGTGAAATCCCAAATGATAGTACTTTTCATTGTCACCGTCATCAGAACCCTCAAATATAATCTGCTACAATATTCTTTATTTTTGGAGTAGAATGGTAGGGATTTCAGAGCCTACAGGTTACACAGTAAATTTTAGCAGATTTAATTTTGTGACAACCAGCTTCTGTGTGCTGTCTTTCCGTAACGTTTCTTCTGTAGCAATAAAAAACGATCAAACGTTGAGATCTTCAAAGTTTATTAGGCATGAGGTCACAGCATTGTGAATATTCACAGCTTTAATAAACTCTGCACTCACATATATAATTCTTTGTAAGCTAATAAGTAGCTGTCCATTTCCACATCATCATCTTCCAGAAGACACGCGGAAAAAGCATCATGTACCGCACACATGTTGAACTTGACATCACTATTCTTCCCATCCATTTCTGAAGTGGCCATAATATTACGTCAGGTATTTCTGTTTAAAGTTCCTGTCTAAATTATTTTTGAGGAAATAAAAGTAAACTATGCGCTTGCATTAATTCCAACAATGCCCACTCAAACCCATAACTGACGTCATTCCTAGACGACAGCAGATGACAGCAGGTAAAGCCGATACCGCATATCGAGGCAGGTAATTCCACAATCAAAATGAGAAGTTAAGCAAGCTCACAACTTACAGTAGTGGAATATTATTATAATTCTCCATGATACTCAAATATTGTAATTAAAATATTACTTCTATTATATTTTTGGGCAAATGAAAATTACATTCACCGAAACCAACTCGAAAGTGAGGTAATGACCGTAATGACCAACTTTTGATAGCAGTTGTGCTGTGTTATCTGTCTGTTACCGTGTTCAATGTGTTGAATTGGTTGCATATTGTTGTGAAGTTAAATATTGAAATTTAAAATGGCACCAAAGGGTGAAGATATTTTGAAAGGTTTTCAAGTGTATCCTTTTATTTGCAGAAGCTATTTGCAATAATGTAACTTTGATGACCTTATGAATAACATTTTATATATCTTGCTAAGTTTCATGTCAAGACAAAGTTAGGTTAATGTGTCTTCATTCCTGCTTTCGTAGAGTATTTGTCTTAACAACAAATACAGAAATTGGATGAATTTACGAGATGCCGACACTGGAAAAATTTTATGGCAATTAAATGAAGATCTGTAAGTATGTCTTGAGGTAGTTACTAAAATAAAAACTCTATAGGATTTTATAATACAAGTAGAGAATTTATTGATGGAATTATAGTTAGCGGAGGCACTAGAAGAAAAAGTCTTCCCCTTCGCCCTGCCAACAATGGGAGTTCATTATTAAAATAATAACACTAAACCTAACCATAGGTTTGCGCTATTTAACCCACTTACTGTGTATTATTTTCTCACCATTTTGCAAAAATAATGCAATTTTGAGGTACAAATGTGAAAATAACGCACCAGAAATGGTAGTTTCATGGCCCAGTGAATGAAGTCACATGACATAGAAAAAGATGATTATTTCATCATGTGGACTGAAGTCAAATATGTTATACTGTAGTGGATGGTTCTTTGACTTCACTCGATTATTACAGCAATAGGGTTAATAAAGAAGAAGAGCCTAACATTATAAAGGAGGTGTGGACACTGGCAAGTGTTTCCTAGGTGCATCCCTGTACTAGAATTTAACCAATTTATTGTATGTTTTACTAATGTAGTGTGATTACTGAAACCAGGATCCATGGAATGTGAAGCATCCATCTGCATGTAACATTTTTGCAGGTCTGTCCCAGAAATAGAACATGAAGCACGGGTACCAAAGAAGGTGCTGAAATGTCGAGCAGTATCTCGAGAAATAAATTTCTCTTCTGTTGAACCAATGGAAAAATTTAGACTGGAACAGAAGATATTATTTAAGGTGATCTGTAGTTCTTAGTTATAAGTATATAAATTATGATTTTATTATGACTGTTAATGTAATACATGAGAAGCAACTTATTTTAGCTGAGCTTAACCCTCTAAGTATCAGTTACATAATGGGATTCAATCTTCAGGTATTCCTGTAATGGAAACCAAGGGTCTCTGTCTCTACCATAGATTATTATGTTTGTTTATTTGAGACTCTTGAGACACTGGCATTAAAGCCTGTTGGCAAGGGGAGTGAGAGTGTGAGCCACCCTAAAATATTGGGCACAGGGCAAGCAGCTGTAGAAACACAATAAATTATGCACTGCATGAGGGGAAGTTGTATCCTTGTCATGTATAACATGTACAGATGCTACAGCCAGGGAGCAGTAACCATCATCTCCAGTTCTGCTGATGGTTTCTACACAAAATCATAGATAAATCTAAATTTTTGTTTCTGTCCTCAGGTGAGGGAAAACACCTATTCTGTTGGGTCCCTTACAAAGAGCTAGCTCTTTCTAAGGTGTTTTCCCTCACCTGAGGACGGAAACAGATTCAGTTTCTGAAACATCATGTTTTTCTTAGTTAACTTAAAACCAGGATGATGGATAAAGTCCGAAAACCCAATATTTCTGTGTGTCATACACATTGTCAGAATTCTACAGTAACTACTAAATTTTTGTGCCACTTATTTTATACTGATGAGACAACATTCACAAGGGCTGGAGCAAAGAGTCTCCACAGCATACATGAATGGACACTTGAGAATCATCATGCTACTTGACACTCTTTATTTAACATAGATTTAGCATCAGCCTTTGGGCTGCAATCATAGATGGTTATGTAGTTGAACCATACATACATCAGTCTAATCCAGTATGATGATTTCCTTCAAAGAACATTTCCCCTCTTATTGGAGGATGTAGCACTAAATATTTGCTGTGAGACATGATTTCAGCACAACAGCACATTTACTCTTCACACCAAGTGTGAATTAGTTGAACAATCATTTTCCAGACACATGGATTGGATGTAGGGGTCTGATATCATGGCGTTCAAGTGTTCCCACCCTGAACACATGTAATTTTTACTTTCGCATGTATGTAGTATGAGGAAGTATTGTGATTGGGGGGGGGGGGGGGAAAAACCAGTGTCAAAGATTTTGACAGATCTACACTTTTTCATCCTGCCCTGAACACTGATTAAATATAAAAAATACAGAATAAGACAACTATTTAAGTTCTTGCTATTTCTGTTGTTTTGTTGACAGAAGGACTAGCAACAAATGAATATCCCCAACTGACCAAAATGACTTGAAGTGGTCAGTAATATGCAGAACACTTACGTGAAATCTGAATGCTCTAGGATCATATGTTAGCTTAGAAGATCTAAAATGTAAACATAGAGCCATATTAAAATGCAGTTCCAGAAGGAACTGAAGATACATCTGCACCATAGATCAGAGTGTTGAATGTTGGAGTGCATGTCTGCAGTTAGCTATGATAAAGTAACCATTTTTCATGCTGTTTTTAAGAATTTCAGTCTCTAGTCTTCTAATGTACTTCTGGTAGTTAAAGTGAAATTGTCTGTGCTACATATAAGTGAAACTTATTCAATAAAATATTGCTACTAATGGTTGCAGTGTAATATATTGTCATATTGTGCAACAGAAAATTGTAATGTCGTGATAAGTGGAAACCAGATAATAATAGTATGCAAGAAAATAGCATGTAATTAGTTTCAAGTATGTGGCCCATCTGAGGATGTCATTTATATGTGCCAAAAACCTGTAATAACTACATGAAACAAGTAAAAATTTATGACTTTAGATGGGTAAGAACACAGGATGTTATTTTTTCTTGAGTATAGCTTATTGATTACCACTTAACAAAACTGAATATATCTGTTACAGGGGCGATGTCTTGAAGAATGGTTCTTTGAATTTGGCTTTGTTATTCCAAATTCTACAAATACATGGCAATCATTAATAGAAGCAGCACCAGAGTCACAAATGATGCCTGCAAATGTTTTGAAGTGAGCATGTAGACTATACAAGGTGTGTCCCAAAAGTCATGAAATATATATATATTTTAAATTTATTGATATCGGTACAAAGTGTTAATATTCTTCAAAGTAATGTCCATGAGCATCTACACATTTTTTCCACCGACTCTCCCATGCCCGGTACGCCCCCTCAAAGGCCTCGACAGGAACCACATTTAAAGCTGTTGTCACGGCCGCTTGGATAGCCTGAATGCTTTCAAAACGGCGTCCTTTGAGTGCTGTCTTGATCTTTGGGAACAAAAAGAAGTCAGCCGGAACTAGGTCGGGGCTGTAGGGTGGCTGCAGCAGCGTTGCCACATAGTGCTTCGGCAGGAACTCACGGACGAGCAGAGACGTGTGGCTGGGTGCATTGTCATGATGCAGCCGCCAGTTAGCGGTGATGTCTTTTCGCACACGGATGACCCTTTCCCTTAATCTTTCTAGAACATCCACGTAGTAGGGAGCGTTGACGGTCTGTCCTTGGGGTAAACACTCTTTGTGGACCACACCCTTGGCATCGAAAAAGACGATGAGCATTGTTTTCACTTTGGATTTGCTCATCTTCGCCTTCTTCGGTTTCGGGGAAGCCGAGGTGTGCCATTCAGCACTCTGGCGCCTTGTTTCTGGGTCGTACTCAAATGTCCATGTTTCGTCGCCGGTAATAACACAGTCTAAATAATGAGGTTCAATTTCCACACGTTCCTTCAATTCACTCGCGATCAACACTCGATTGGCCTTTTGCTCGTCCGTCAACAATTTGGGTACCAGCTTGGGGCACACCTTTCGCATGTTCAATTCGTCCATAACGATGCGATGCACAACAGTTTTTGGAATGTTCAGAGTGTCGGCTAACAACCGGACAGTCATTCGACGGTCAGTATTCAACAAATCACGCACACGAGTCAGATTTTCATTGGTTTGGCTTGTTGATGGCCGTCCATAGTGGGGGTCATCTTCCACTCCTTTCTGGCCCTCCTTAAACTTCTTCACCCACCTTGTAACTTGTACATATGATAGAGCAGACTCCCCGTGGGCTTGCTGAAGCAGTTCGTGAGTTTTGGCAGCTTTTTTGTTGAGCTTTGTGCAGAACTTGACCGCCCAACGTTGTTTGAAAGTATCTGCCATCGCGCGCCGTGACGTGGTCACAAAACACAGGTGCACTAAATCAGCGATACTGATGCCTCCGATTCTCAAGCAGACTGACCTTGGGCACGCTGTGAAGCTAAAGACTTCCCTCCCCCCCCAACCCAACCGGTTCCAGTGCACTCCGACCAGTAGGAGTGCGGGAAAGAAATATATTTCATGACTTTTGGGACACACCTTGTAGATGGAGAGATAGTTATATAGATAGAAGTCTGAACACAGATCACATCTAGGTCTTTATAACAGATTTTCTTTAGGCAATATAGACCATATTTTATAGACCTTCAGATATAGCAGACCGTTTGAGGTAACTAGATTTTAGATGACTTAAGTTTGAAAAAAAGATATTTTGCTGTACTTATTTAAAACTGAAAAACCGAAGTACTTACAAGACAAAATGACAATATGGTGAGAGGAAACAGCTGTTTTTATTCACATATTATTTTATTTTGTTTGAGAATGACCAACATGGCTCTGGGTGTTTGGTTTCTGTGTTTTTTGACACAATTTATCACATTTAATTTAAAGCCTATGATGTAGAAATACCTAATCAAACCATATGGTATCACATCCCAGAAGACAGCAAACCTAATACGAGGGTTAGAACTTTAATAGTGGCAACTATTTATTTACAACTGATACAAAATAGATGCATGTTTTGAAGTCTTACTGTCCTTCAATGTAGTCACCAGCATTGCTTACAACCCGTTGCCAGCTATGTGGAAGTCGTAGGATACTTTTAGCAGTGCCTGTTGTGTTGATAGTTCGAATGGAGCAGTCTACTGCCTGAAGAATCTCTGGAACATTTCTGATGTGAATGCCATGAAGTGGTTCCTTCATCTTAGGAATGAAGTCGAAGTCACAAGGGCTTAAGTCCGGGGAGTATGGTGGATGGGACAGCACTTCCCAGCCCCATCGATCACACAAATCAGCTACAGCTTGCGCTGCATGCAGCTGAGCATTGTCCTGCAAAATGATGGGTTGGTTCTGCAGTAAGTGTCGCTGCTTCTTTCTCAAAGCTGGTCGCAGGTTGTGTTCCAAAAATGAACAGTAATACTGTGCATTGACAGTCTGCTGTTTGGGAATGGTATGCGTTAGGATAACACCATCACAATTCTACACGAGAATCACCATAACTTTCACATTGCTGGGGTTCTGACAAACTTTTGATTTTCGTGGTGACCCTTAATGACACCATTCGTTTGATTGGCGTTTCATTTGTGGCTTGTACTATTTGGCCCATGTCTCATCCAGTGTAATGATGTGGCGTAAGAAAGCCTCTCCTTTGCTCTCATAGCACTCCAAGTGGTTACGAGCAGTGTCGTATCGTAGCCATTTCTGCATTTGCGTCAAATCATGTGGAACCCATCGTGATGCAATTTATATCATGCCCAGGCATTCCTTCGGAATGTGAAGCACAATCGTATGCCCTAATCCTGTCTCTTGGGACAGCTCACGAATCATATGGCATCGATCACGCTCCAGTATCGCGGAAAGAGCATACACTTCTTCCTCACTGACACTAGGATGACCTGGCTGATGCATGTCTGCCACATTTTGGCATCCCTTGTTGTAGGCTTTTACCCACGTTGCCACCATTCTTTAACGCCATGCAGATCCCCTGCAAGCCTTTTGAAGACCTTGATGACACTGTTGTGCTGTATGGCATCTGGCACATTCAATCTTTATCCAACTCCGTTCCTGTTTTGAAAACACTGTGACAACACTACATTAGACCGCCAGCTAACACGAGGCTCTCTTCCTCTCGTCACTGCGCATGCGCATGATGCGGGAAGGGAGAGTCCATTTGCTCTGAGGTAAGGTAGGTATGTAACTAATGTGTGGTATAAGCGACATTATTTGGTTCCATTGCATGGCATATCTGCAGCAGTGTTGCCACTATTAAAGTTCCAACCCTAGTATGTCAAATAAGTGACTGTTAGGGAGACCAAAGGACAGGGTGGAAAGACCATATGAGACTAGAAAAAGGGTGGACAAATATAAGAGTTCTTATGGCAAGGAGGATGATTATTAGGAGTACACCCTCATGTTAGGTTTGAACAATTCCTAGAGTATTTCAGAAGTATTTATGTTATACATTGAAATGATATAAAAAGAAAGATTTTTTTTAGGTAATATGATTAAGAACATGTTCTAGCCGGTAGTCTTGAGTCTTGAATTATTCCTAAGCTAAAGAAAATGGATATGAGATTTGGCACTTGGAATGTTCGAAGTTTGTATAGGGCAGGTTCGTTCGAGGCAGTGGCAGAAGAAATCTTAAAATATAAGTTAGATTTAGCGGGAATACAGGATGTCAGATGGGATGGAGGTGGCATCGCAGCAGCATGAGACTATACATTTTTTTGTGGAAAGGGGAATGAAACCCATGAATTAGGTACAGGTTTCTTCGTACATAAGAGAAATGTATCAGCAGTTAAGAGGGTAGAGTTCGTTAGTGATAGGATATCATATATAATACTAAAAGGTCGCCGGTGTGGTATCATTGTTATGAATGTTCACGTTCCAACTTACTTACTCATGGTGCTGAGCCCTTCTGGAGGAGCTGCCAATTCTGCAGCTACTCAAGAATTTCCCAGCATTTTATGGAACCCGAAGGTTCATCACCGTGTTCACAAGAGCCCTCCACTGGTCCCTATCCTGAGCCAGATCAATCCAATCATCCCATCCCATCCTATCTCTCTAAGATCCATTCTAATATTGTCCACCCACCTATGCCTTGGTCTTCCCAGTGGTCTCTTTCCTTCTGGCTTTCCCACCAGTATCCTATATGCATTCCTTGTCTCCCCAATCATGCTACATGACCTGCCCACCTCATCCTCCTTGACTTGATCATTCTAATTATACTTGAAGAAGAGTACAAGTTATGAAGCTCCTCATTATGCAGTTTTCTCCAACCTCCTGTCACTTCATCTCTCTTCAGTCCAAATATTCTCCTCAACTCCCTGTTCTTAAACACCCTCAGTCTATGTTCCTCCCTTAATGTCAGGGACCAAGTTTCAGACCCATACAGAACCACAGGCAAAATTATAGTTTTGTATATTCTGATTTGTATGTTTCTCGACAACAGACGAGAAGACAAAAGGCTCTTGACTGAATGGTAGCAAGCATTACCGAGTTCAGTCGCCTCTTAATTTCCTTCTGAATCAGGTTTTGATCTGTTATCATTGATCCCAAATATCTGAACTGTGCCATATTTTCAAAACATCTGTTTCCTATCTTTATATCATGATTTTGCCCTGCATTTTGGTGACGAGACAGCAACATATACTTAGTTTTCTCTGTGTTTACTTCTAGACCAACCTCTTTACTTGCGTTAGTTAAAGTTTGTGTGTTTTTCTTTATGGTATCTACATTATCACCCAGTAGATTCACGTCATCGGCATAGGCCAACAACTGATGCATCCCGTTTAATTTCAGTCCCACCTGGTTTCCCTGGACCTTCCTAATGGCATATTCGAAAGCAAAGTTGAAAAGGAGTGGTGATAAAGCATCTCCTTGTTTTAGACCANCTATACTATACTTTATACGTTTCGTTTAAACACATTTTAATCAGCTTAACAAGTTTCATGGGTATCCCAAACTCTATTAGAATATTGTACAATACTTCCCTCCTAACTGCATTGTAGGCTTTCTTGAAGTCTATGAATAGCTAATGTACTGTCTCATCGTACTCCCATCTTTTCTCCAGTATCTGACCAATGCAAAAGATCTGATCTGTAGTTGATCTGTTACATCGAAACCCACACTGATGATCCCCAATAATTTCATCTATATATGGACTTAACATTGAAAGAAGAATATTGGACAAAATTTTATATGAAGTTGAT